CCCCAAAACCCCAAAACCCCGAAGTAAAATCATAGATAATTGTTTGAAATGAATGAAATAAATAAATTCTTAATTAAAGCTAACAATATAAAACTATGGCAACTACAACTGTTCCTTAAAACGCAGGATCCTCTGGCTAGAACTTCCTACATCATGATCCATATGACAGCTGGAAAAATGAGATTGCTAACTATGAATAAACAAAAGCCTAATTCAAAGGTTTTGCTGAACCATATGTAAAAAGAACACATGCTGATTACAAAGCAAGAGAGACTATCTATAATCCAATCACTCAAAAGTTCAATGATGCTTAAGTGGAGAATCACGTTTCAAAGATTGAAAAGGATAACTTTATTGAGGTCATCGCAAAAAATAAGGTAATTTAGACTAAATATGATATATTCCTAATAGGATCGAGCTCTTCGTTATGAATAAACCTTTGACGTGATTAACTTCGATAATAAATTGAAAGGTCTTGAAGGTAATCCTGACTATCCTAAGGATAAACCTTGGTATTTCAGACCAGGTAAAGACACTGCTGCTGACTACAATATCCTAAGTAATATTCCATTGACAGAACATCACTTCAATCACCCTGATAAACGCCCACCTCCAGAAGAGGAAAAAGTAAAATATTGAATGTTTTAAATTTTTTTAGAAACAAAAAGTGAAAAAGCAAACTACAACTGGGCTAAGAGATTATAACATAATTACTGGCAGATATCTTGAATTCCATGATGATAAACTCAAAACTGACTAGGAAATCTAAAGAGCAGAGGCTGCTTACAAGTACTGGTAGACACACTAATTTGATCCAGTTAATTGTGAATACTACGACCCTAATCAAGAAAAAGAATTCATTGAGTAAGCAAATTATAATTCTAATTCATTACTTTTGCAGAAAGAAAACAGAAGATGAAAAGATCCATGGTAAAGATCAAGTTAAAAAGCTACCCATATCAGTGCAAAAGTAAAATCCTCCTTCATAACTTTATTATAACAATTTTTAGTGAGGGATTAATGTACAACCCCATTAATATGCAGATAGAAGACTAGTAAAGATTATATGAGAGAGATTTAAGAGAGAAAAATAAAAGAAAGAGATTTGAAGTTAGATATGACGTTGAAGCCAAAACGAGGAAGGATGGATTTTCAGAGTAAGAACGTGCAGATATCATGAAACTTAATAAGGTAGCTCATTCAAGATTCAAAGAAGAATAAGAGAGAGGCTTTGATATTTTAACTAATGATCCATTAAATGGACCTTAAGCTTCAAAATCAGTTTTTCAACCAAGAGTGTAACCTCCAAGAGGAGTTTGGACTAAGGCTCTCCAGACAGTCAATAAGGGTATAATATTGAAATCTTATTTTTTAGAATTTATGTCTGAAGATGAGAGAAGATAAGTTGAACAAGAAGAAGAGGCTAAGAGGTTAAAATCATAAACTGATTTCCATAGAACTCAAACTGAAGAGCTCAAGAAATTATAGACATATGATCCATTGGCCGAGACTAACTTTTAGAGAAGATCTTAGAGAGTGATGAAGCAGTCATAAGATGGATTTAACACAATGAAAAGCAATGATCCAAATCCTATGCTAGCATATCAAAGTAGTACTGTCGATAGATAACCATTCAGTAAAACCACAACTAATGCTAAAGGAGGTTCTGTTGCAAGGCAATAATCTAATAGTGCTATTGGTGGAGGACCTTTAGGCCTTTAATCCCACACTTAGTTTGATAGATAGTCCAATCAAGGATCAACTAGAAATGCAGGAGCTCCATAATCTTCATAATTTTCTTCTAATTCTAAAAGAGAAATAAGAACTGGTGGTTTCCAAAAGATTGGATTGTCTGTTACTGGCAATAGCAAATAATGATTTAATAAAGATTTTAAACAAATATCTTGATAATGCATAATAAGCTTAAATTTACTTAAATTTATAATCTCTTAATAAATTAAAACACTAAATTCATACTCAAAGTATAATTACTCTTATTTCATTTTTAGATGCAAAGTTAAAACTATCTTCAGAAATCAATTAGCCAGAATGAAGTGTCCTTTTTAACCTAGATGATTACTCAGTTTGTGAAAGTTTACTAAGCCAATAGTATATTTATGAACCAATATGAAAATATGTAAAATAAATTACTAGGACATAAAGTCCTTAAGTTTTAATTGTTTCATTCCCACACAAGAATTTGTTCACAGAATTCAAGTAAGTAATCACTGGAATTGTTACAGAACAGAAAGGGTTGTAATATAATAACAAACTGAATGATACCATATATATTAAAAAAATTCCATAGTATATGTATCCAAACAATAGAGTCTTTTGATCAATATAGCCATTAATGAGCGTAATGCTTGAATAAATAACTGCTGGTAAAGCTATAAGAGCATATATGTATGAGCCAGTTTCAACACTGCTTTCATTTATATCATAAAGTACTACTATGATGATTGTCATTGAAATTCCAATAGTTGAAACTAACAGTAGAATATCTTCTATTTTAGACTAAGAAGCTCTGACTTAAGATTTCATCACTATTTCAGATGATAGACCGTAGTAGGTTAAATAGGGATTTTTCTCAAGATTCTTCATTTAACTTTACAATTTAGATTTATTTATAGAGTTAAATAATTTTTATCTGTTCTTCGAAATATTCATTTATCCTTAGTTCCCTTTATCGTGGGGTTTTGGGGTTTTGGGG